ATAGACTGGTGACCTGTCCAGGGTGTCCCCAGCTGGGATAGACTCCAGCTCCCCGCGACCCGAGTGCGGATTAAGCGGTGTATAGATAATAGATGGATGGGATAAGCGCAGTTCCCTCATCCCCTACTGTTTGATTTACAACTGATACAGTTACTGTAAGGTAATATGATTTCTAATCATTTGACATTTAGGTGAAATCGTACTCAGGTCTGCTGTGCGCTACAGTAGCGAGGCCCACTGTGTGTAGCTGGACTCGTTGAGGAGACCTCTGCATGACATTGAGACAAACTGCAAATTAACTTGATGTCCTCTTTGTCTTTCAGATGATCCAAACCAGCAGAACACTGATCGAGTCAGCTGATGTGGTCTACTCCAAGCTCACACAAGCACAACGGGCAGGTATGTCTAATTATGGGATGCAGGAAGCCCTTTCTGTCCTTTGCTATAATATGCTTTGCTTACCGTGATGTTATTTTGTGTTTTCTGAAAGCTACAGAGAAAAAAAAAATCTTTCCTGTGTAGATTCTCTCATTTCCTGACACTTGAAAAACACAAACAGCTCGGCGAGGATCTCTCCGCTGCTGTGACATGAATCAAATTACCTCACTTACTGGCATATTTCTTTAAAAATACGCCCGTAAGAAAGCAGAATAAATGTACTCGAGGAGCCGAATGCTTTTTAGTGCATCTTCGCCTTCGTTTTTAAGGTCCAGATGAATCACGAGATGTACAAATCCGCAGCCCTTTTTAAACACATTACGTGTCCTTCAGCCTAACAGAAGCGAGTATCCTCTCCTGCAGCATCTCCATCAACATCAGTGAGTCAGAGCAGAGTAGTTATCATGTCAGTGGGCAGGTGAAAACAATCAGCCGCCGCTCAGACAAAAGGATGCGGGAGAAAAGAGGCCAGAGAGCATAAACATCCTTTGGGAGGAGGAAGGGAAATGAAAAGGTTTGAGCGGGAGGGAGGAGGAACGACAACACGGATGGAATTAAAGAAGCATTTTGTGTTTTCGCCGTGTTTTTTAAGAGGTTCAGGCTTTCAGGAGGGAGGACCAAATTAACCATAATAAGATCATTAGGAGAGAAATGGCTTCGAATAAAGCAACGCCGCCGCCGCTCGTCTTCCCTCCGCCTCGTTTGCATTCAGCGCTGAAACTCCCTCATTTGCTTCTGTTCAGCAGCAGAGTCTCTGCTGGAGAGCTGCTCCAGCAGGAGGTCAGAGTTTGAATACGATTTTGCATGTTGGTACCTCACATCGGAGAGCTGGAGATCCAACTGAGGCGAATGTGAAGCCTACAGATTTTGACCTTGTTGGCTTTGGACGATTTTAGACTAAGAACATACTGGATCAATAAAATAAATGCAGCGTGGCTCAGAAACGGTACACAGAAGAGCAAGTTGTTGGAAGATACATTCAGCACGGTGAAACATCTTCTACAGCTGAGGTGCAGGAAAGAGTGAAAAATTTTATACAGTCCTCAAATGTATTCATACCCTTTCATTTAAAAAAAAGGGGCAAAATTCACAATCGTCACTTAAATAAGTAGAAATTGAAAAAAGTAATAATAAATAAAAATTTGCAAAATTATAATGTATTGAAATAAGATGTTGCTTTTGAATTGTGGTTGAAAAAGAATAATTTTTAAAAAACAACAAATGTGTCAGAAAACACTCAATTGCAGTGATTGGCTCAACAAAATATTAGTTTACGGGTCCCATCATGCTTGTTTTTTTTTCATATTTCTGTTGAACCACAATTCAAAAGCAATGTCGTGATTTTCATTACATTTTTATTTATTACTACTTTTGTCGATTTCAGCTTATTTCAGTGACTTTCTGTCTTTAATGGGAGGCTATGAATACATTTGAAGACGACTGAAGATGCTGCAAACATGGAAATAGTTAAATATCTATAGTATGTGGAGTCACCATGTGTTTGTGAACACTTCGAAACATGTTGAACGTGTTGAATCCAATCTTTTTTTGTCAAATTTGAATAAATCCCCCTGTTTTTAATGATCCGTGATCTACATGGTTGTTCTGTTTCCATAGAGGTGCAGGATTTTGTATTGCAGTGAAAAAAGAGCCCACAGAGAGCAAAAATGGAGCAAAGAGCTCTTTCGCTGCCTCCACAACAACAAGCCCAGCTAATACTCGTGCTGTGCAGTCACCCAGGGGTGCAGGTTGAACTCCGGGGCTTCGATCACAGAGCTGGAGGCGGCTTCAAAGGCAGAGCTTAAACCCAACACAGCTGCTCTCTCCGCGGTGAGAGTCGCTGGGCACCGGAGGCTGAGGCTTCACTCACTGCTGCCGTCAGGGGTTTTGCTGCAGCTTTGTTTGCTGTCTAGCTTGTCTGGAATTAATCCTAAAGGGGCTTCGAAAGCAACAAGTTGAAGCCTCTTCCCGAAGAATGATCGTGCGATCCTTCCAACAACATCGAGGCTCCTGTGTTTGGAGTTGTTTGGTATTCACGTGTGTGTAAAGAAAGACAGAATGATGCAGAGCGACAGCACTGAAGAGCCTCAGCTGCAGCCAGACGTAACACCTCCCAAACCATCCTCACATCACTTCCATGTCAAGTCTGTCTACGCCTGCAGATATCAGCGGGTCGCTGCATGAAAAATCAATCAGAGCCTCCCACCTGACCCCCTCAGAGTCAGCTGGTGTTTTATTTACAGTAGCTGAGTGTGTTTAATGAAGGATCGTCATCTAGACACGATTCAGTCTGTGGCAGGAACACTTTTCTAACACAGGGACTTTAACACTTGAAAACTGAAAGTTGGAAAGGTTTTTATTTGACTGTGGGTGTATGATGAAGGCTTTAGTGGTAAATGGCGCCTCCTAGTGTTGTTGAGTCACTTAATTCACCAAGGAAATGTGGTTCCACCAAACTTAACATGGAGCTTCAATTCAGCTTCCCACATTGATAAATATACTCTTACACTGACTACACTGTAAAAAATCAAACTTCTTCTTTTATTGAACAATGTTTTTTTTCCCAGTTTTCTTAAATTACTGATAAAATTTAGTTTAATCACAGAAATAAGTCATTATTTGCATGTTAGCTGTTAGAAAAGAGGCCAAAACTATCAATAATGTCCTCATCACAAATCTAATATATGGTAATCCGTTCTCTTACAACGTTTGACCCCAAAAATACATTATTAACTGTATCCAAATCAGCAAAAATATGATTATTAAACAGATGTTAAAAAAGAGAGAGATGCATTAAGATTGAAAAAATGTAAACTGTTATTTTACAGATGTACCCTGGTTTGTTAAATTACAGATAATAACCAGTAATCTGATAATAACTAATTTACATTTTAACTGTCAAAAAAAGAAAGAAAAGGCCGAAGTGACAAAAAAAGTTTACATTAAATATCTGTATTTTTTACAAATGGTGACTGAAAACGGTACATTTAAAAAATATGTTTTATTTAAAACTACAAAACTTAATATTTGACATATAATAATTTAACTGTTAATACAGTTAAATTACAGATAGTTCGTTTAAAAAAATTCAAAAATGTATTATTTTATTGCTGACTATAAGAAAAAAATGTAAATAATGTCAACATAAAAAATGTTTCCTTTTACAAATTGTAGTTCTTTAGCAGTTCTTGACCATAAAGTTGCAGCTTTTTACTGTATTCAAACCAACTAAAAAATATTAAAACAATATTCATCATTATTTTTGCTATTTTAACACTTTTTCATCATTACAGCATTGCACTGTTTTTTCTTGTTTGTTTGATTCTTTTGCTTCTTTTTTAAAAGTATTTTTTTCTGGCACTTTTGCTGCCAGACTTTTACCATTTTTTACCAATAGTTATTTTTTATTTATTTAGTTTTACAGTCTACGTAGTCATTGCAGATTTTTTCACAGATAACTTTTGTTTTCATGTAAAATATTAAATGTTCACATAAAAACTAAACATGACGGTGACTTTGCTCTGCACCACAAACAAAGAGTCAGTCCTCCTAAATCATTTATGTTTCACACTAGATACTGAATTGGCAAAAATAAAACCACTTTGAGCCTTTTTTTTTTTTTATGTATAAGCTAGCTGTCAGGTTTTTTTCAGAAAAATGCTGAGCTGCTGGAGAACAATTCGTCGTGAAACCGCTCTAAAATGTTCTTGACCTTGATGATGCTGAATGTGTGACAAACAGAGCAGCTGAGATAAGCTGCTTCAATTTCATTTTGCAATCACACATCTAATGAAATGCTATATAAGGCTTTCTCCCAGTTTTAGTGTTTTATTTGGCTTCGGCTCATTACAGTCGTTCCGTATCCTTTAGAGAACAGAAAATAAAACCACAGCGTCCTTGTGACGGCTGAGAAAGCTCGACTTCATCTTGATAGATTGACTGAGTGCATCCTCCAGACGCCATCCCATAGCCGCGTGATTACCGACGGTGGCAACGGCCTCAACACAGACGCAGGATCAGGCAGGACGCTGGATTGAACTGAAGGTTTTGCTCCTTTGATCGATCCAGAGGCCAAAGGTATAATTCTGGCATAATGGCTGTGTGTGCAGCAGAATAAGGAGCCACTAGAGGACGGGCCGTCAGCATCGGATGAAGGAGTGTGTTCGCCTCGTCTAAGCTTCATTCGAGGCCTGTGATCGGACCTGACAGCCATTAAAAGTGAGATCTGCTCAGAGAAATCCATAATTCATTCATTCATTCATTCATTCATTCATTCAATCTTTATGTTACTCTCAAAGGCCGAAAAACCCACCAGTGAATTTGAAATGCGTGTTATATTTAAAACATTTTCATTTATCAGAGCCAGAAAAAAACAAAAATAAATGTCGGATTTTTACATTTTCCAGCAGTCCTTGAAACAAATCTGAGCTTCAAATCGTGATAATTTATCCACATACAAGTCTCATTCAAAACAGTTTACCAAAATAAATGATGATTTTTGTACGAACTAGATTGTGTAAAAAAAAGAAATCATTCCGTCCTCCTGAGCACAAATCAAAAGCAACAACTAACTCAGCTAAATATAAAAATAAAATATTCTTAATAGCAAAAAACTTTTATATTTTCTTTATGATTTATGTTTTACCCTAATTATGTAAAAGCACAACCCCAAAAAATAAATAAATCTGCACTTTTCGGTGCAACTGTGACTCACTTTCCAATTAAATTTTCACTGCAATCTAAAGTCCTGCACCTCTATGGAAACACAACAACCATGAAGTAGGAGAGAGAAATCAGAAATCTCTTCTGTACAGTATGACACGGTGAGAATGACAGAAATCAGAACAAAATAAATTCAAAAGCTGACTTTCTTTGATTACTTATTTTACCAAAAACTTTTTTTAAAAATTTAATCAACACGTCCAACATTTTCCCAAGTGCACACAGGTGTTGCCAACAAT